CTTCTCCTAATTATTAGCTAGATGGATCTTGGGAAAATTGCTACACCTTCCTAATTGGCAGTTTCACACACACACACACACACACACACACACACACACACACATATATATGGCTAAGTGTCCATCTGACCGGTAGCTAAGACCCACACTGACCACCAGGGGACAGGCGCTAAACACAGGAGAACCCAAGAACCACCCTCTTGCAATCCGGGAACTCCTCAGGGGATGTCGGAGAGCGGGTTTTGGCCCGATCCCTGCAGGCTAGGCCGAGGGACTCCACCTGCTGGAGGGACCCCGCTCACTCCGCTGATGCCCTTCAAGCCACAGCACTCAGGGGATGTCGGAGAGCCGGTTTTGGCCCGATCCTTGCAGGCTAGGCCGATGATGCCCTTCAAGCCACAGCACCACCCCAGGTGCGGCTGGCCAGGGAGGGACTGTGGGAGGTTGGATCCAGGGGGGGTCCGGTCCCTCCCCACTGGCCACCTTCTAATTAATTTCCTTTCAATGTGCATGAATCCGTGCACCGGGACACTAGTTCTAAAATAAGGAAAGTGAAAACAAACTTTGCAAGGACTATTGTATTTTTTAATGAGATGATATGTATTAAGTGCTTATAATATCTGGCCCTTAATAAATAGTCTGTAAACAGTAGTCAAACACTGTGTGTCATGTGGCTCTAGTTTATCTTCTTAACCTGGTTTTATTTCCTTGTCTCATGAAAATTCTCCACAAATCCAAAGTATTTATGCTCATTGTCGTTAAAGGTACCTGTGCTCTCTACCTTCTTGCTACTTCATATGCCCCCTCTTTTTTTATGGCTCATTTAAAATCCTCTTTTCTTCTTAGTATGAATATACTGGTCTTTCTAGTACGAACTGTCTTCTTTACCATTCCGTTTGGCACTTTGCATTTATAGTAGTTATTTCATATGCTATCTTTGATAAAGATAGTCTTCTAGAAGGCAAAGGGGACTCACTGTTCTTGGGAAAAATAGTTTAGTAGAAGAGCATTGGGCCTGGAGTCAGTGATCCTTGGTTGTAGCCTAGTAGCAGCTATTGCTATTCTGCTGGAATAGCTAATTACATCACACTCACACTATTTTTAAAAATATATATATTTTATTGATTTTTTACAGAGAGGAAGGGAGAGGGATAGAGAGTTAGAAACATCTATGAAAGAGAAACATCGATCAGCTGCCTTCTGCACACCCCCTACTGGGGATGTTCCTGCAACCAAGGTACATGCCCTTGACCGGAATCGAACCTGGGACCCTTCAGTCCGCAGGCCGATGCTCTATCCACTGAGCCAAACCGGTTACAGCTTATTTTTTTTTTTTTTAATCAGATGGTTGTTTGGCCACACTGTAGTATTCTCTACAGAACAAACTTTCTTGTTTTTTGCAATATGGATATACTTGAGTATTTTCCAAATCTTTAAGTGTTAGTCTTGTTTTGCTTACCATTATTCCTTCTCTGTTCATTTCTTTGTTCTTGCCATTTACTATAAGCAGTCAGGTGAAACCAAGCTATTCCTTCAACACTTTGCTGAGAAGAAGTCTCCTTACTCAATAAAATTTCAGTTTTGTTCCCTACAAATTCCACAGAATGCTAGAACATAGCCAGTGTTTTCTTTTTGCCACTTGATAACAAGGACCATCTTTTTTCCATTGTCCAATAACATATTCCTCATTTCCATCTGAAACCTCACCAGAATGGCCTTTACCATCTATATTTCTACAAGTATTCTGTTCAAGATTGTTTATATATTCCTGTTACAACAGCACCCCACTTTTTGATACCAAATCTGTCTTAGCTTGGGCTACTTTAAAAATATATCACAGACTGGGTGGCTTCAACAGGCATTTATTTCTCAGTCTTGGAGGCTGGGAAGTGCAAGATCAAAGTGTGGGCAGATTCACTTCCTGGTGAGGACCCTCTTCCTTGCCTTGTATATGGCTATTTTCTCATTTGTCTCTTCCTGTTGGGATCAGCAGTGAGTGAGATTCTCTCTTCTCCTGGCTCCATTTTCAATGAAGTTTCTGTTTATTAATTTTTACAGTATTCTTCAGTAGTTGAATGGGTAAATAATCTGGTACATCATCCAGGAAATGGAATAATGTTCAATGCTAAAAATTAATATGCTATTAAACCATGAAAAGACATGGAGGAACCTTAAATATATATATATATTTAGTGAAAGGCCAATTTGAAAAGGCCTGTATAATTCCAACTATCTGACATTCTGAAAAAGGCAAAACTATGGAAATATTAAAAAGATCAGTGGCAGCTCCTCGGGTTAACAGGATGAATTAGACAGAGTACAGGGGATTTTTAAGGCAGTAAAAACTATTATGTATGATACTCTGATGGTGTATACCTGTCATTATACATTTGTCAAAATCCATAGAATGTAGAACATCAAGAGTGAATTTTAGTGTAACCTATGGCCTTTGAGTTATGATGTATCAATGTAGGGTCCTTAATTGTAAAAAATGTTTCACTCTGGTGGAGCATATTGCTCGTTGGGGCTGTGTGTGCTGTGTGTGTGTGTGTGTGTGTGTGTGTGTGTGTGTGTGTGTGTGTGGCGAGGGAGGGGGCGCAGAAAGTATATGAGAACGCTGTACTTTCCATTCAATTTTGCTGTGAACCTAAAACTGCTCTAAAAACATAAAATCTACTTTTAAAAATCTGATAATGGAAACAAAAGCTGTCATTTTAGCTATCTGGCCAGGTCTTACACCAGCTGGTGTACTGCAATTTAGTTCTGACACTAATCACCCTGAGTTATCATCAGACTCCACAGGTGTAAGGACATGGTCCCCAATAAGACTTCCACTTCTTCATACACCAGCCGCAGCCAGGTCACCAGGCTATTCACACTTCTAGCCAAGTAGCTTACAGATAAGGGGGGGTTCCCAAACCCCCTCACAAGACTGCTCTCACTTCAGATGCAAGTTGCAAGTTCAGAGGTCTCTAGGCCACCTACACTTCTGACCAACTGGCTATCAAATGGGGGGTTTCCTGTGACTCCTCTCAGGTTTAATAATTTGCTAGAATGAGTCATAGAACTCAGGGAAATGCTATACTTATGATTACAGTTTTATTATAAACAATAGAAATTGGGACCAGCTAAATGAAGAGATGCATGAGGCAAGGACTTGAAGGGTCCTGAATGCAGAGCCTCTTGCCCTCTCCCTGTGGAAGCAGGTCACATCACTCTCCTGGCACATCAGTGGATTAACCAACTAGGAAGCTCCCCTGTGCTTCTGTGTCCAGAGTTTTTATTGAAATTTCATGACATAGGCATGATTGATTAAGCATTGGTGAAACCAAGCTATTCCTTCAACACTTTGCTGAGAAGACGTCTCCACAGGATTGAACTAAATTTCCAGCCTTTCTTCAGACAATGAGGGGTTCTGTGCCAAAGTCCCCAGTCACATCTAGTCTTTCTGGTCACCAGCCATGAGCCTGAGCCTGAGCCTGAGCCTGAACCATTTTGTTAGCATAAATTTGAGCTTGAATCAAGGGATTTATCAAAAACAAATACTCTCCTATCACAGGAAATTCCAAGGGTTTTAGAAACTCTCTGCCTGAAATCCAGGACAAAGACAAGACATATTCTTTTTTTTTTTAATGTATTTTTATTGATTTCAGAGAGGAAGGGAGAGGGAGAGGAACATCAATGATGAGAGAGAGTCATCGATTAGCTGCCTCCTGCACGCCCCCTACTGGGGATCAAACCCACAACCCTAGGTATGTACCCTTGACTGGAATCCATCCCGGGACCCTTCAGTCCGCAGGTTGACACTCTATCTACTGAGCCAAACTGGCTAGGGCTGGCAAATTCTTTATTAGACAACACCAGGCTTTTAAAAAATGGTAGCCCTTGAGAAACCTAATACTTTTTTTTTTTTTAATTTGAAAATGTACCATGGAAAGCTAAGCTCAGATAACTGAAAAATATTTAAGAAGAGGTAAGAGCAATAGCTGATTTACAAATCTCTGTATTAGTCTTGTTTTAAATTATGTCCACAAAAGAACATCCAGCCTACAGAAAATTCTTAAAAGAGTTTATTTGAGCCAAATTTTGAGGACATGCCCAGAAGCAAAATCTCAACTGATTGAGAAAATGCTTGGGAGAATAGCAGGTTTGTAGTTCCTTTTCTGCATTTAGACTCAAAATGTAAGGAGGAACACATGAAATCCATTGTTGGTAAATTAAGGAGGTGGGAGAAGGCAAACCAGGGAAATCTCTAGCATTGAACAAATGGCAAAATGGAGAAACACATATTTCTTGTACACTGGTGGGTACAGGATTGTTAATAATTTACATTTACAGTACATAGGGATGGTATATAAGGAACAAGATTAGCATGAGTGCTCTTGTGGTCATGTGCTCTGGTGCCTCCATTATGTCTTCGAGGGATCTAGAAAAGAAAATTACTCTGGCCTCCTAGATGCATAAGAGCGATGGACAGAGTTCAGTTAAAGATTTACCTCTGCTAAGGAAGCTGCAGGCCTGGGATGTGACTACCCGCCATGGCCTGCCCAGTTAGGAATTTATGATTAGACCATCCTGTGTGGTTACTTTTGTTCACTGAGCTTGTCAGGCCTGCCATGTGGCCCCCTGAGCTTATTAGGGTTATTTTATAGCTCCTTTTTGCTCATAGTTCTTTAAATCTTTTTGTTATAGCTCTTTAAATCTTTCTACCTCGTGCAGTTTGGATTTCATATTTATGATTTTGATGCATAAATGATTTTCTTTTGATAAAAAGTATATAGAGAGAAATTTACTTGGAAAGGTGAGCTAGTATAATAACATATGAGTCTTTCCAGTTTTCACTCACACTGGTAAAATAAAATAAACAGATAACCTTAAAAAGTTTTTTTCCTGAGCTGTAGGTTGCTTCATTGGACTCACTTTCCTCTCTAAGAGCAAGTTATTTTAGAATGTATCCACTTTTTCCAAGGAAGTACTTAGTTCTGTTTTTTCTTTTGCAGATTGATTATACCGGAATAGACCCTTCCAGTCCCTGCAATAAATGTTTGTCCCGGAATGTGACACCTTGTATTTGTACAATTAACTTCACACTGGAACAGTCATTTGAGGTCTGTATTCCCAAGTAATGTGTTTAAGAAGCCATGCTTTAAAAAGTGTTGATATTGTGTTAATTTTTTTACAAAATTGTTTTGTGTGTGTTTGGAGAAGTCACTTTAATTAATTGGTTGTAGATGCTCTTATGCTAAAAAAGCTTTTTTTTTTTGCTATTGAGTTATGCTGCCTGGTAATTAAAAACATGTATTTAAGTAGTTTATTTTAGCACTTTGTAATCTAAATTTAAAACATTGTATTTTATATTACTGGAAAATTTTATTGTACAAATCACTTTTGATCACATTTATATCTACACTTGTATTTTTAAAATTATTGTTCAAATTATTTTGCCCACTTCTAATATTAAAACAAGTTTTTAGAAAATAAATACTGCCCTAGCTGATTTGGCTCAGTGAATAGAGCGTCGGCCTGTGGACCAAAGGGTCGTGGGTTCAATCCTGGTCAGGGGCATGTACCTTGGTTGCAGGCTCCTCAGGCCCTGACCTTGGTCGGAGGCAACCAATTGATATGTTTCTCTCACATCAATATTTCTCTCTGTCTTTCCCTCTCTCTTCCACTCTCCCTAAAAATCAATGGAAAAATACCCTCGGCCAAGGAT